TTCGAGCAGGCCAGAAAGTACAAAATGCGCTTCAATCCGGAGAAGCGCACGTTCGGTGTACGAGCAAGTAAGTTCCTCAGTTTCTATCTAACTAAACGAGGAATCGAGGCTAACCCCGACAAGTGCAGAGCCTTCTCCAAGTTCTCCATGCTGAACTCAAAAAAGTCCATCTAGTCCCTCAACAGGATGCTCACAACCCTATCCCATTTCATAGCCAAATCCGCCCAACACGCCCTCCCCTTTTTCAAACTCCTCCGCAAAGAGGTCGCGGCCAAATGGACAGAGAAATGTGACAAAGCCCTCCTTCACCTGAATCAAGCCCTATCCACACCACCGGTCCTCTCCCGGCCAGAAAGTGGGGAAACTCTGTTTCTCTACCTCGCCGTCGCATCCGAGGATGTGAGCGCCGCCTTCATTCGTGAAACTCCTGACGGGAAAAAATCCATCTATTTCACGAGCAAGACACTGTAGGAACCATAGCTGAGGTACCAATAGATAGAAAAGATGGCCCTCACCCTTATTAATGTTGCAAGAAGACTGAGACATTACTTCCTGACCCATACGATCGTGATGCGCATAGACCAACCCATAAAACAACTCCTAGGCCGTCCAGATATGGTCGGCAGGATGCTCAGATGGTCGCTAGAGTTATCCGAAATTGACATCCAGTACGAGAGCAGAAAGGCCTTCAAGGCACAAACACTAACTGACTTAGTAACGGAAATGACATTGACCAACCAACCGGGCAACAACCCCCGCAAATGGGTTATATTTTTTGACGGAGCATCCAGCTCGGCCGGGAGCGGGGCAGGCATCATCCTGGAAAACAAAGAGGGGGTCTTCATTGAAGTTTCGCTGACACTGTCCTTTCCTACATCTAACAACCAGGCAGAATACAAGGCCTTCCTGGCCGGTCTACGCCTCGCCGAGGAACTGGACGTAGAAGAAGTCATCATCTGCACCGACTTGCAGCTGACGGCCCTTCAAGTCCGAGGAGAATACCAAGTTAAAAACGACAACTTGTCTGAATATCTGGCCCTAGTCAAGAAGGAGATAGAAAAGTTCACTTTCGTGGAAGTGAAACACGTACCCCGTGAGCACAACGTCCGGGCAGACGTCCTATCAAAACTAGCAAGCATGAAGAAGAAGGGAGGAAACAAATTCGTCATCCAGGAGATACTCCTACGACCTAGCATCGAGAAAACGTCCACAACCCTCGACGTGCACGTCGTCAGCGAAAACCACTGTTGGATGACCTTAGTATACAACTACCTTACTAAAAATGAACTACCATCTGACCCGAAGGAAGTCAGCGTAGTAAGGTGTAGAGCATTCTCCTACGTTCTGGTCAAGAACAAGATGTATAGGAGAGGATTCTCCATACCTATCCTCAAATGCGTCGAAGAGGAAATGGTCACCCACATCCTACGCGAGATCCACGAAGGAATTAACGCCCAACACCTAGGTGGGAGATCCCTCGTGAGGAAAGCTCTGCGAGCAGGTTACTACTGGCCGACCATGCAAAATGACGCGAAAGAGCATGTGAAGAAATGCGACAAATGCCAACGGCATGGAGACATGCTCCTGGCGCGACCCAACGAGCTCAAGGCACTGTCCTCCCTGTGACCATGTTCCTGGTGGGCCCTGGACATCCTGAGACCCTTCATCGTAGGCTCCAACCAAAATAAATACTTAATAATGGACGTGGACTACTTCACCAAGTGGATAGAAGCTGAGGCCCTGACCAAGATAACGACCCACAACATACTTCGTTTCTACAAGAGAAACATCCTTGCCCGTTTTGGCATTCCTCAAGCGATCGTCACAGACAACGGGACACAGTTCACAAACAAAAGATTCTAGGAGTTCGTCGCTCAACTTGACACTAAACAACACTTCGCATCCGTCGAGCACCCGGAGACTAACGGGCAAGCAGAAGCGGCGAACAGGGTAATCTTACGAGGCCTCAAACGAAGACTAGACGAAACAAAGAGGCAGTGGGTCGAGGAGCTGTACAATGTACTCTGGGCCTACCGCACTACACCTTATTCATTGACCGGGGAAAACCCTTTTTGCCTAGCATATGGGACGGAGGCGGTAATCCCCATCGAGACCCACGTACCGTCCAAACGAATAGAAGCACCTTTGGGCGAAGAAACAAATAGCGAGGCCCTGAGGGAAGAACTCGACCTCGTCGAAGACGTTCGGTCAGGGGCAACCCTCCGCGAAGCCTCACTCAAACAGAAAATCACGATTTGACACAATGCCAAGGTCATCCGACGAGAATTCTAAGTAGGCAGCCTCATCCTAAGGAGGAATCACAAAGATTCTTGAGAGAGTAAGCTCGCTGCAAACTGGGAAGGACCCTACCGCGTTAGAGCAAAAACGGATAATAGAGCCTACTACCTAGAACACATCACCGGAGAAGAATTAGATCGACCATGGAACATCGAAAATTTGAAACAATATTATAGCTAAGGCCCTCCGTTATCGACGTGCCTTGTCCAGGCGGCGGACATGACAGCCGACCATAGGTGCACGCCCAGGTACAAGCGATGCACCACAAAAAAAGGATCTAAGCAAGGGTTAGGCGAAGAGACCTACCCATGCTCGATGGCGGTTCCTCGACCGAGCCCGCTGTCGTCACAGTATCATGAACGACAAAACCCCCAGCTCGCGATGGAAAGTTCACACCGCGAACTCAGGCCATGATCATGACCTGAGCTCTCCCCCTGCCCGGACACAACCCGGGCCTTTCGACCAGTTTCCCACTCTATCGAACGTTATTTTTCGAGCATACCCGATACATGACAAATTACTAAGTGCCTCTCATGACCGCGTAGGATGGTGCATGACACTTAGAAAATATTAAACAAGATACAAATAATCACACAACATTTTGATACATATTAAGATAACGTGGCCACGATGGGCCGCTGCTGTGCACGATACAATAAAAAGGGGTTAAGCCCCACAAAATAAAATTACACAAATTACAACATTAATCAGGTGGCACGCAGGCCAAAGCACAAGTTAGGGAAAGCTCATTGTTCCTCTTACTCAGCCTCCTCTTAAGTCACCTACCGCTCTTCACCGTCTTCGCCGAATTGGAGGAAATCGACGACGACATTTCTAGCGTTCGGGCAAGTATTCATCCGAATAGAAGGAAGCTCACGACGACTATGCTCGAGAAGCAGTCCATCCTTAAGTCATCGCTACTGTGTCCGGTAGCAATGACTTGGGGGGCTACTATTCCGGACTGACCTAATGGCTAGGCATGACCCAATCCACTTCTTCTTCCAGAACGACCCAATTGCCTAAATCTAACCTCTTTGGTGGAGAGTTTACCTTTCTGTCCCTCCAATAGGGGAGACTGACCAATTTACCCTTGGTCACAACACATCTCCCCGTCAGTCTCTGCCCGTTACGCACTGTTCCACCATCCAGAAACAACCAAGACGCTTGTGCCCATAACTATACCTCTGCCCGTCCCAACGACTAGTTATGGGCATGTCTGCCCGTCCCAACGGCTAGTTCTGGTAGTTACCTATTCTTCGAAAAACGATTATCTTACCCCGAAAATAGAGACCAATGGCCAAGCGCTGGGGGAATTATAAAAACCCTCTCACTTAAGAGAGCCAGATATCAAATATTCACCCTGAAACACTCATATTCTGTACTTGCTCCCTCTTTTGCTCATTTTCTTACTTTAGCATCAGAGTGCTTTGCAGGTACACCACCTCCTCCCCTTTCACACCCAACATCATATACGCTTGTCTTTGACCCATCTTAGATTCTGATTGACTGGTAAGATCAGGACCCATTAGGGTGGTTAAGGCGTTGCAATAGGTTTTTTCTAAACCAACTAATTGCTGAAGGAGAGAAGGTGGGATTAACAACGTTTCATTTGATAGAAGAAGCGCAACTATGGTTCGATGAAATGCAAGAAGAAGAATCCGGAATGGTGTGGGAACGCTTCAAGGGATGTTGCCATATTCTGTTCGGACCACCTATGAGCAATAATCCGTTGGTAGAACTCGCCATCCTCAAGCAAACTGGATCCGTGAATGATTGTCAACGTCAATTTCAATCCTTGCTTGATAGAACCCAGTATCTTAAGCCTAAACAATAAGTGGACTTATTTAGTGCGGGGATGATTGATGAATAAGGATCGACGTTGAACTTCAACAACCAGAAAATTTAGGAGTTGCTATGAACATGGCTCGAGCATTTGAACGCAAATTGAAATGCTCATAAGGAATGATTACGACACGGGATAATACAAGTAGAACCTTCAACAATGGTTCTGCTATCTCAAACCCGAAAGGCACAACGTCAAAAGGAGGACACACAACAAAGTTGGTAGGAAGTAATAACAAAACAAATTCTTCTGCACCCTATATCAAAAGATTAACATGTGCGGAAATGGCGGAAAGGTGGGCAAAGGGGCTGTGAGCCAGAGGACGAAGAAGGTAAAAAGTAAAAAGTTATTTTTGATTGAAGGATTCGAAGAAGAAAATAGTGAGCCAGAGGACGAAGCCAGTGCAAATCCTCAAATTTCTCTGCATGCCATTAATGAAAATCATGATTCTTGTACTATGAAGTTGCACGCGACGATGATTGACACCACAATATTAGTTTTGGTGGATTTATGGAGCACACATAATTTCATACGTGAAGACTTAATCCCATGTTTGGGGTTAAATGTATGGAAAAAATTGGGGCTGCGAGTATATGTAGCAAATGGGGAGAAGGTAACTAGTATGAGAATTTGCAAGTCTGTATCATTTTTTGTGACACAAGAAAGGTTTCAAGCTGACTTCTATACCATTCCACTTGCTGGATTTGATGTGATTTTAGGAGTCAAGTGCACATTGGATTCCATTTTATGAGATTTTAGTTAGAGCTAACGGTGAATGAGAAAAAGACAGAATGAACAGGTAAACTTGTAGAAGCAGAACACAGACTGCATTTGATGCAGAGACACAATTAAACTGTTACTAGTCCCAAAACAAATGTGGCTGTAGTTTAGTGGTAAGAATTCCACGTTGTGGCCGTGGAGACCTGGGCTTGAATCCCAGCAGCCACATTGTTTTTTTCATATTATATTTCATTTTTTTTCCACAAACTTTGAAGGAAGTGCTTCTGATTTTTTGATCTGGCTTGGGATAAGCAGCAACAGTGGCCAAGAAATCCAAGCCCACCGCTCCACACCCCACCTGCACAAACACAATAAAGGTTCCATTTTTAAGCTTCAAAGATGAAAAAGGAGAGATTGAATCAAAGAGAGGACGCACCACAGTTGAGTTTTCAGGAAGGAAATCACCAGACATAGTATAGTGCTCAGTGCTCACTCTAAGACAAACCCAAAGAGGGTGGTGATTTTAATATAATTGGTAGCTTAAAGTTATTTTTAAAATTACAAATATGTCTATATCACACACATATTATAAGGACAAAAATGGAAATTTGGTTTGTCTTATTATAGTCAAACTGTTTGCCTTTTACTGCAGCTGAACTATCAAGCTTTTCTATGATCTTCTAGTTTATAATCTGACTAATAATAATGTTGTTATATGCTGTGTTCAGAAAATAGCTATTTATCATTGTTAAATAAACATGCAGAAAACTTCAAAATTTGTTTTGAAACTGGTTTAAAGCAAGTATTGATCTTAAAGAGATGTACCACAGAAATTCCATTTTCCACATTGATGGCATTATAGAGGATTAAGTGAAAAACTATAATCATGGTTTATCTTAAGTTAGAATGTCTTTGATGTAAATTAAGTATTAGGACCAGTCCCCAAATATGGAATTCAATTGATTAAACGGTCTGCATACAAATCTGAAAAATCTCTAAATAACTGTACATACTATGCTGAAGAAACACAAAGCTACACAGCAATTTGTAGTTTCAATTATTAGAATACAGTGTGCTTGTTTCTCTCAACGAAATCTTCATATCAATTCATTTTATCATATCTCTTCTAAGCACCGGTAGTAGCCATTTCTCCAAAATGGAAATGTTGAGGTAAACATTGTGAGTCATTGCAACCTGTGCCTTCATCTTCCTCTGTGTCCCATAGGAAATTTGCATATGCTGCTTGTACATGGCTGATATCATATCATGAAATGAAACCAAAAGCTCTTGTTAGAATGATTTTCAAGCATGTTAAGTGATAACTTAATCTAAAATGTACAACAATAATCTGAACTGAATATTATGATTGAAGCAGATGATGGATATTGTATTTGTACCTGTCTTGAGGAGAGGCTTGTACTGCTCGTTCAAAATAGCTAGAAGCTCTTTCTTCGTCATGATGTAGCTCCCAAATTAGCTTCCCATACTGTGATAAAACTTCTCCATCATTTGGATCTGCTAGTATGGCTCTGGAATAATACTCCTCTGCTCCTTCAAGGTCTTGTTTGCACTGTTAAATCAAAACAGCATCAATTTTCCAATCATCACCAGTAGTATAGTTTCCACTAATAAAACCATATTTGTGCTGAAAATTAATATGGTTTGTTTAAGTTATAATTATGAAAAAAGTTATGAACATACAGTTGAGAGCTATAGGCCTGTTTGGATTGACTTGGCATCAGCAACAACTTATAACATGATTATAAGTTGTTTTCAGCTTATTTTCATAAGTTTGTCTTTGTAAATTTTGAATCAAGTTGTTTATGCAAACAGAAGGAAATAGAGGTTACCTGATACAAGAATTGAGCATAATTCCTCAGGAACAATGGATTCCCGGGATTTTGCTGCACCATTTTCTTATAATATTCTTCCACCCCATGATTATTATTATCTCCATCATTTCTGTCAGACCCCATAGAATTATAATCACCACCTCCATTGCCTCCTCCTCTGCCGCCATCACCACCACCACAAATATCAATACCAAGCCCCTTTGCAAGATACATTTCTCTATTACCAACCTCTCCCTCATCACCAAAACTCACCCTACAAACTCTATCCTCCACTTCTTCACTCACCATCATCCTATTCATCACACTGTACTCATCATAACCTTCATCTTCAATATCAGATTCTTCATCTTCCTCTTCTTCACGCAAGCCTGTTTGTTTGGAAAGAGAGAAAGATGGAATTGTCTCAAGTGGCAAGCCTCTTTGTTTCCCTGAATACCTCTTAGAAGGGTCCAAACAATTGAATCTCTCTTCATTATTGCAAGTAGCATAGGCTAAGTCCTCCAAGTTTCCCTCCGATTGAACTCTTCTAACCAACCCTTTGTTTTGCCTTTCAAGATCAGCAATGGAGGGGGACATTGGAGAAGAACTGCATGAGAGTCTATGATTTGATGGTGGCAGATGATTAAGCATATGACATGATTCAAGATGAAGACTATGAGTATGATTAGTACTGTCTGTGAAGGAAGGTAAGAGAGAACCAAGAATTGGTGTTGAAGAGCTTCTTAGCAACATGTTTTCTGATTGGTTAATGATAATTGAGAATCACTTTTATGTAGTTGTTGTCCCGTGATTCTTTGCTTTTGAAGTAGAAACCTAAAACATAGAAAGAAAAAAAACTAGGAATTAGAAAAACAAAAAAGACTAATTGGCATAAAAACAGTAGAAAGGAGAAGAAAGAAGCAATACCCTTTTAATATAAAAAGAAAAAGGCAATACCTTTTTAGATGGTGGAGAGTTAACAGATGACAGAAAAGAATTTTAGAACAAATGTGTACAATTTCTTTTACGTTTAATATTTGAAACTAGGGTTATGACTTATATATAGGGAAAAAAACTAAAGCTAAGCCCTAATATTCTAATGTATTATTTTGAGAAAAAAAACAAAATTTAATTTTCACCGAAAAATAAAAATAAAAAACAGATTTAATTAAGGGTAGCAATTGAGTGGTGGACAGAGTTTGGATGAATTTGTTTGTATGTCTGAATTGGTTGAGACAAAACATCAAACATTTGGTGAGCTGTTTTACTTGGTTCAAAATGTGAACTAGTTGAAAAAATCACTGTCATTAACTTTTCATATGAATAAAAAAACATGATAAAGTAGAAAAATGAGGCTAAGTGAAACTACACCAACCATTACATGATGAGAGGAAGTTCCTTTCCTCCACAAGGTTATGGTAGCAGAGGAAAATGTTCATGAAACCGAAATACTAGATGTTTTAATCCACACAAAAAAAAAGCATTTTCTGATTTTGGAACTACACGTGCTACATTTTATGTTTCGTGGAATATTATTCTTTTGTCATCAAAATTGAATTGATCACACCTATTAATGTTTCAGAAATTTTGCAGGAGGGAATTGAGTTGTAAAATTGCTTACGAAATTCATTTAACATAATCAAAATTGTATTTGTTTTTTCTTTTAAGAAATAAATATGAAATATACTTTTATTAAAAATGAAAATTTAGTATTTTGTTCAAGATTATTTTTACAAGAGTGTTTTTATTTTAGATTAGTTAGGAATGTCCGGATTTATAATTTATTAAATAATTTGTAATTAAATCATGAGAAATGTTAACAAGTGTCTTTAGGGCATTGGTTAAAAGATTAAAATAGTAAGTTAAATATTATTTAAGAGATTGAAAATATATTTTTTTTTCTAAATATATGTGTATTCAATGCTTTAAAAAGAGAAATAATCAGACTTTTTAAAAAATATTATTTGTATTGAGTGAACTAAATATAACATATTTTCCTTATTTGAAATTCTTAACTATATAGTAGTATTGAGGAAATTATATAACATAAGAAAAGAAAAGAAAGATACTGTCGGTAAAATAATGAATAAGAATATGAACAATAAATATACACAAAAGTTAATTAAAAAGTATTTATTATTATTAATGGTAAAGATATATATATAGAAAATGGAAAAAGTCATATGTGTTGATATTATTTATACATTGATATAAATATATAAATATTTTTATAAACTTTCATTTTATAATTATGCCTTGATAAAAATAATTATACATTGATATAATATTTTTATAAACAGAAAAAATATATTACTGATATAAATATTTTTATAAATGAAAAAAATATATTATTGATAAATAGTTTTATAAATGAACTAAAAATGATTTTTTTTCGTTGATACAAATATTTATAAACGAAAAAAATATATTGTTGATATAAATATTTTTATAAATGAAAAAAATTCTAAGTTGATATAAATATTTTTATAAATGTAACAACGTATATTATTGATATAAATATTTTTATAAATAAAAAAACAAAAACTTCAATATAAAAATAATTTTTTATATCTGTAAAAAAATGCATATACGAGACAGGAATATGTGCTACGCATGGTTTTTTTTACTAGTTTAGTAAAACATCAACAACCATAGTTAAAGATACTACTCCCCCTTTTTTACAATAGGGGTCTTTGAAATTTTTACTTCTTAAGATAATAATTAATTGTGTTACTTTCAATGATAAAATGAATGTCATTTATTAAAATATAGAAAAAGCCATATGTGTTGATATACATATGACTTTCAAAATATTTATATCAAAAATATATTTTTTTCATTTATAAAAATATTTTTATCAACAATATATTTTTTGCGTTGATAAAAATATTTAAATTAACCTTATAATTTTTTCTATTTATAAAAATATTTGTATCAATATTATACTTTCTCGTTTATAAAAATATTATATCAACCATACACCTTTAAAATTACTTTTAATTTTTTTAAAATATAAATTAAATATATACTTATCAATTATTACATATTGACACAAGAGTATATCATTTTCTAACACAATATAGTGTGATTCTCTAAACCGTGCGTCTGCACGGATATGATTAAAACATACACTATGCCATAAAATATCTAAGGCAATGTTTTTTTTGGGCTTTAACAATGCTTAAAAGCGCTGTCTAAAGTGGTGCAGCTGTAGGTAAAGACATTGTTTTTTTAAATATAAAAATGCTGCTTTAGGTCCCCTTTTAAATGCAAAAGCGCTCTCTAATGTCACCTTTAGGCAGACTTTTTCATGAAAAACGCTTTCTTTTGCCCCCTTTAGGCAGTGCTTTTAAAAGCGTTGTCTAATGTATCTTTTCTTTTTATTTTAGGCAGCACTTATTCATGGCAGCACAAACCATTTGAATTCAAATTTTTATCAACACTTATCACAAACCTTTTATAATTCAACACAAGCCTTTGTTTTAACACATAGGACTTATATACCATTATAATTCAACATGTATATATCATTTTAATTCAACACATAAATCTTATAACCACTATAATTCAACACATAAACCTTATAACCATTATAATTCAACACAAACCTCATACACCAAGAAACATCCATAATTCTATCCACTTCCAAAATCTTCAACATCTAAAAGATTAACCAAACATAATTACAAACACCAATCCTCAATTCACAACAACTACCAGAACTATACAATAACTTTTAAAGCTATACAACATGACTTCCAAAACTATTCCTATCCAGTACAGAACATCAAAACAACAAAAATATCCAAGGACCATAAACTTCACACAAAATAAAGAAAGACAATATACTTTATACAATTCTCATCTCAAGAATGTATTGACACCATTCCTCCTTAATTTCTTCCAGTTTATCTTTCGAGTAAGTAGCACACTTGAATTCATCAAAGTATTACATAATATAACGTAATATGCATGATTTAGTTAAAACTAATTAATTAGATGAAATATTCGTTAAATATTAAAATAAATCCCAACTTATAAATCCATACCATGTTTGGAACCTCTATTTGATCCAAATGAATAGTTTCTTTCATAAACCTCAATATAAAATAACCACAATCTATGTTATTACGCTGACGAGGACACTACACGTAGAAAAAAATACGAATATATATCAAAATATATAGTTTAACTTGTTTTATCAAGTAGCATCACTATTATAATCAAAATTGTGAAAATATATCTGCACTTTGATCCTTGTATAGCTCTAACATAATATAAACGAATATTTTGAACAATCTCACATAAATGAATAACATAATACACACGAATATTTAGAATAATCTCACCACTTACGTATCAATCATCACCTTCATATCTGGGTATTTTGTTTGATCACCATCTAACGAATCCAGATAATATACTATTTCTTTTATCGGATTAATCGCAACCAACAATCAGTGTCCACTGTAAAATAAAATAAAAGTTTAGATGGACATTTTCTATACAACGTCAAAAAATGAAAAATTATAATAAATGAAGTTAGAATGAAAATTTAACCCATGACCAGTATTATATGGTAAAAGATACAACTTTTTTGTATCTCTGTTGGCCATAAATGCATCAACTAAGTGATCTTTAACTGTATTTGAACTTTGATCAATTAATCGTGCGTTGATACAACTGAAAGATAAGAAAGATAATCTTTCTGTCAATTGACGCGGGCGCATCAGTTTGTCATACAAGAACCTTAAATAAAAACATAATCAACATTAGAATATTCATTGAAATGAGTAAATAAATTGTTCAATTAATTAAATAAAATTGATCGGAGTACCTGATGTATAAATTCATAACACTGATGCCTAATTTAGAATGTTGAAAAATCTGATCCAAATCTTCTTTGGCAATTGTTTCGGTATAAGAAAAACCAAAAATACCTTCCTCCATAGGTATTTCACGAATACCACCTTCCATCATATCTGTTGTTCCTACATATGTTTCAAGGCATAACCTAAATTGAGGAATAAATGTGTTTTTAGGCTCAGTCTTCGCAAGATCCTTTATTTTGTTGGACATATTCTTGCTGACTTGTTGCAACTCTTGAGCATGAATCTAAAAATCATATAAGAGTTAGGCAACGTATAAGATCATGAAGCTTTTGAATTCGGAGGATAGAATTAACATTTTCTATACATATATATCAATTTACCTCTTTTTTTTTTATGCAACTGACTCGGTGTGCCGCACAATCCCCTTATCTTTTGATTTGAATTTTGTAGAAGTCTAACATTACCATGTAAATAAAATATACGTAAATAAAAGAATAACTTACATGCCTCGTAAAACATTTGAATACTAAAAGGTTCATAATGGTTTTTAACATACCTCATTATCTATGAAAATAAGGTTTGACGGCCATGCAACATACGATCATATTACATCTCCCACCAATGTTGCATTTGAAACATCGTTCGTGTAGGTAATAGTGCATCCTCCTCTAAAGCAATATCAATCGATACTTTCAAAAATCCAGCAGGGAGTGGTTTATGGTGAAGTACATCTCCCAAAGTGTTATGCATTTTTCCCTTGCCAACCATGCGATAATTCGGTGATGATAAATAGAGGTGATAAGGTGAAATGCCCTAAACCAATAATAAATATGAAATTGTTAATGTGTATATATGTCAATTAATTTTTTTTTGCTAATTTAATTTCATAATAATATATATAATTACCTCGGGAATTTTCTG